ATGACACTGACTTCAATTTACCACAATGCAACAGCTCCCCTCCCAATTCCTCCCAATAGTTACCTCTTCTCTGTGTCTATCCCTCCATGCACTCCTGCCCCCTGAGCTGTCTCCCTGTGCATAAACAGTCCTTCTTTCTCCCATGATTGTTCTCCCCAAGGAGTGTATCTACCTCAGGTAAATGTTCAACTCATATGCCTGTCTTCTGCTTGGCTGGAAGCCACAGGTCCCCTCCACTCTTCTAACACTCCTCTGCATTCAAGAACTCCCATGCAAATGACTATATCTCCATCCTATCACCTTAATAATATTTTGAACCTCTAATGAACAATTCCTATAGTTTGTCTTAAATTCTAACAAATTATTTCTACTAAACAATTCTTACCATTAATAATTGGAACATGGAATATACAAAGTATGAATGTAGAAAAATTGGAAGTTATCAAAAATAAAATGGAACACATAAAGATCAATATCCTAGGCATTAGTGAGCTGAAAAGGACTGGTACTGGCCATTTTGAATTGGGCAGTCTTATAGTCTGCTATGCCAGGAATGACAAATTGAAGAGAGATGGCATTGCAGTCATCATTAAAAAAAAAAAAAAATCAAGATTTGTCCTGGAGTACAACACTATCAGTGATAAGATAGTGAGGGTGAGGAATATATTTTCATTTTCTCATCCTCCCATGGCACTTTACTCTACTTTGACATAGTTGTTATTTAATGAATGTTTGTAAAATGGAGTTGGAAAACTGGCTAGAATGTGGTTGGGTAGGAACAAGTGCTGAGTGGTGTACTTAGTGAGAAAAGAAAAAACCTAATGGAGAAATAAGGCTGTCTCCTAGCAGTTGCTATTGCTGCTTATTCAAATAATAATAGCAACATTTATTGAGTATTTCCTGTGGGCCAGGCACTGTGCTAAGTGTTTTCTCTGCATTATCTTATTTAATCTTTGGCATCACTTTGTTGTTCCATTATTTCTATTTTACAAATAAGCAATCCAAGCCTTTTGTTGTTAGGTGCCATCAAGTCAGCTCCAACTGACAGTGACCCTGTGTATAACAGAGCAAAACACTGCCTGGTCCTGCGCCATCCTCACAATCCTTGCTATGCTTGAGCCCATCATCGCAGCCACTATGTCATCCATCTTGTTGAGGGTCTTCCCCCTTTTTTGGTCACTCTCTCCTTTACCTAGCATCCCATCGGACAATGTGACCAAAGTAGGTGAGATGAAGTCTGGCCATTCTCACTTCTAAGGAGCATTCCAGATGCATCTCTTCCAGGACAGATTTGTTTGTTCTTCTGGCAGTCATGGTACTTTCAGTATTCTTCACTAGCACCACAACTCAAAGGCATCAACTCTTTTTCGGTCATCTTTATTCACTGTACAGCTTTCACATGCATATGAGGCAATTAAAAAGACCATGACTTGGAGAATCCAAGGCTTAGAGAGGTTAAATAATGTACAGTAGAACTAGTTAGTCCTAGAGTCACGATCTGGACCTGGGTCTATCTAACGTCAGAAGCCAAACAGCTCTTTGAAGTCAATTCTGCATTTTTGAAGAAGGCCAGCTAAGATACTACCAGCAGACATATGAGTCATGACTGGACATAAATCAGTACTGTCATATATTTTAAAGAAAATAAATATGAAGATAGAATCTGTAAATAATGGTGATAATAGTAACAGCAAAAATTTATTGAGCCCTTACTATGTGCCAGATATTATTCTAAGAGCTTTATTTACATTTATTACCTCACTTATCCTCACAACCATTCTAAGAGGCAGACTCTTATTTCCATTTTACACAGGAAGAAACTGAAACATAGAGGCATTAAGTGACTTGCACAAGGTCGCACAGCTGGTAAGTAGTAGAACTGGATTTCTACCCAGGTGATTTGGCTCCTGAGCCAAATGGTCTTAACCACAATGCCAAATTGCCTCTCAGTGTTGTCTGTAGTACAGAAAAATATGATTCGCTCATTAATTTTATTGTAAAATGATTTTTGTGGGAAGCTTTCAATAATTTACAGACCTTTTGAATTCTTCCTGATTTATCTACACGTTTCAAATGAATTCAATAAGATACTGACCATATAGCACTATACCCTTTCTTACCCCACTGTGATCCCAGGGATGGGCCTTCTCTCAAGTCCCACTTGCTTCCCAGTGAATCTGAATCTGAATCTGAATCTAAATCTAAATCTCAGTACTTGTGGTTTAGAACAGGAGATGTGATATTAATGGTTCCTTCTGCTCCAAGACTCAGCTGTGTGTGTCCCTGATTTCTTCCTATCTAGGGAAGGAGGATTTGGAAGTAAGGCACCACCCTGTTGAATGACTGTAATACCAAGTATAGCCCTTAGCACAGAGGTTGGCCTATCCTGAGAATCAGGCTGTGCCCATGGTTCAGAGGTTTTATGGCCTTCATTATCTCACTTGTCTGCCAGTTAAAAAGAAAAAAAAAAATGTTTTAAAAACTGTTACACAAAAAGGGCTGGATGTATGACATATTTTATCTTTTGTTGACTTTTTTCCTCCTAAGATCTGAGTAGAGGAAAGGCAAACCTGACTATATTAACTTATCTTACTTAGGGGGAGATAAATGCAATAAATTAGAATATTGTTTTGGCTTGGCCTAGGTGGCACAAAGATTTCTTTTGATTTGTGAGCATAGTCACTGTCAAAACTTCAACATTATGGTTGCCTTGGTTCCCTTCTCTTTCTCTGTCTTTCTTTTCTTTCCATTCTTTCTTTCCTTCTTCTTAATAATAAAAAACTTATCTGTTTAAACAGTACTTAGCATACGTCAAATGCTCAATAAATGTTAATTGCTATTACTATAAAACCTAAGAAGCAGAATCTAGAGTGATCTTAGCATCTACTGTAATGTTTTAATTCTATAGTTAGCTAGAATTTTCTTTTCAAATAAACTCAACTCTAGTTGGAAGCAAAACTCCTTGAATACTGCATGTGGCTCTAGAGAGATGAAAACCCTAAGATGACTACCCTTAATCCTTCACTGTAGAATTATTTTAAAGGCAGTTATTGGTAGTAAGAATGATCTACCTGAATTTGGCAGTGAAAGTGGAGAGTGGAACATGTCAAGAAGGATGGAAGAGAAGGGCAAGGCTTTCAGAGAAAAGCAAGCCCACAGGGGTTTCGCTCCTGCTGTCCAAGGAACTCTCAATTCAGAGATCTACCCAGAAAAGAAAGCTACTATCATCCTTTACTGAATAAGTCTGGGTGATTGAACTCCATCTGGAAGGTCAGATGGGCCTGTCTCCCATCTTCTTTCCTTTCTCCCCTTCCCACTATAAAATATCACCTTCTTCATTGCTGTGAAATTCAGTCCTTAAAAGAGCAACAAGTCAACCTCTCCTCTTTCTAGGCTGCCTTGACCTCACCTTCTCAAGCCTCATGTCTAGAGAAACTAAGTGAAAAAAGACCATTTTGTTTTTGGAGGAGGAAATGAGGATATTGGGGGAATTTTCTCAAATATCTCTGATTTCTTTTTCTCCCAATAGTCCCATTTCCTCCCAACTGCATTCAGAATAAGAGGAGTGTTTCCTTCTCTAAGAAATACTGCTTTCCTAGAAAATCAGCAGAACATCTGCCATAATGTGGGATTGCCAACATTTCAGCTAAAAGCCCCTCATTAGTTGATTAGGGTGTTCAGAGTAGGATCCCTGAGGCAGGACTTTCAGGCAAGGATTAGTTCTGGGGTGGTGGTGATGAGCAAATCAGACCAAAGGGGAAGGGTCTGTTAGGCTCTATCTGTGTAATCTTGGGCTTCAGCATTTATGATAATTGAAAGTGCTTATCTCGATGTCTTGCTTCCTGTTTGGTCGCATTATTAGAATTACTAATATTATAAATGGATGAACACCCCCTTGGATTCCATCAGCCTGGTTCAAAATCCAGTGTTGCTCCAGCACTTACCATGTTGCTAAGTCTCTGAGCCTCGGTTTGTATATCACGTGTTATGAGGATTAAATGGATCAGTGTGTATAAGATGCATAGCAGAGTACCTGGCACATGGTGGGCTTTAAATAAATGTTTAGGTCCATTCCTCCATTCCCTTTATAGTCAGTGGGCTTAACTGTGGCAGATCTGGAAAATAATACAAGAAGGCTTGGAAAGTTAATGCAATGCCTGACACATGAGTGCAAACTTCATTCCTAGTGAATCATTTAGTTTTACTGGATAATGGTCAGATTTAAGTTAGTGGTCTGTTTAACATAAATGGCACATTGTTGCTATTTCTAATGAGTGAAAAGCAATTTCAGGTGCTTTGTGTTTTAGGGTACCCTTGGGGATGGGTATTTTTAAGAAATACAGCATGTTAGAGGCCATGGAGTCCAGGGATGCTGAGACTGGTGGAGCTGCAGAATGACCTGTGAGCACATTAGAATGATGGTGGCATGACTAGAAGAGCTTTCTGTTGTTGTTGTTGTTATGTGCCATTGAGTCGGCCCCGACTCCTAGCGACCCCTCCATGGGTTTCTGAGGTGGTGTCACTATGGAAGTAGATTGCCCAACCTTCCTTCCAAGGAGTGGCTGGTGGGTTTGAAC